CAACTTCCCGAAGCAGCACCGGTTGCTCCTGCGCCCTTCCGCCCTAGGACGCTGCTCGCGCGCAGTGCAGGCCGAGGGGGATGCCGTGGCTATCGAGGGATTTTTTCATCTCCGGAGGCTATCAGTGCGAAGAGCTTCAGGCTGCTCCTCGGAGCCAGTCCGAAGTAGACGAGGGCAAAGGCAATTAAGCAGAGGACTTGGTCCAAAAAAAACCACCAAAAGGCTGCGGAAATCTCCACCCTTCCCTTTGCTTCCCGGAGCCCCACAGCCCCCCCCCCGACCTGGCAAGGCTTCAATCGGAGGAGTTGCAAGTACTCTCGGCCAAAGTCGAAGTCCTGCGCCAGCAAGTCCTGGCCGGGCTCCCACCCTGCCTTCCTTGTTGTCTCGGTATAGGTTATACTATGTTATGATATATGTCAGTGAATACTTGTATATTATAGCATTTCATAATTTTGTATGGTATATGATAGAATAGTTACCATTAATGTATTGTTGTGTTCTTCTCCATTGTGTTATATTTCTCTGTCTTCTCTCAATGCTGACACTTGGATGGAGATTAGCTTGCAAGAACACAGTGCTTGTAGAGTACAATCCGCAGAATTAGGAATGCTCCTAGGTCCCGACTAGGAATTCCAGCAAACAGGGGTCAGATGAAGGGTTCCACTGTTTCTGTGAATTCATAATCTCAGCTACACGTCGAAGATTTCAAGCAGGATCTCGCATCGCTGAGGGGTCGACAATTTTCGGTTTTGAGTCCAATGTAAGGAGGCTGTACGACTCAAAGTCAAAATGTTAGAGACATGGACACGAAATGGGGCAAGACCTCACCTTTAACTCCGAAAGGTGCGCGAAGAGGAGCGGCGTGATCTGGTGCACTGCCGGGTTCTTGGAAGGCGGCGAGTGAGATCAGTACACTGACTCGTAGGGTTCTGGTGGTGGGATTGCGGCTTTCAGCCGCAGTTGACGATGTACGCAGGTTCGCGAAGTCCAAGTTTGGTGGAACAAGTTGTGTTTCTACAAGATGAGATGGGCTTGGTCTGGCTGAAGAGCTCCATGATTTAAGACATTGAGGTAATCGAGGTCCTGGCGGAGAGATTTCATAGCAATGCTACTGCCGATTCATATTCTGTTTGTCTTCTTTCATGTATGTCCGTCCTGGTTACTTGGCACGACGTGCCCAAGTCGACTTCTTCGTCTGCTTGGGTTTGGGATAGGCATATGAGGTTCTATGATTTCGAGATTCGGTGTTGGCCTTGTAAACGTAATTTGAATGCTTGTGCGAGCATGAGAGTGGACATCATTATTACATGGAAGCCTCAAATGACCAGCCTCTCAGTTCAGGTCTCGGTGAAAGCTTGGGTGCGCCCGTGACGGCCTTGGCTTCAGGGTGAGCCCAAGCTGCTTCTGGGAGCCGAAGCTGCTACGAGCAACCAGGACCTCAGGAATTCGGACAAGCGGTGCTCATCCCGGGCGTTGTGCTTACCTTTGGTAAGTAGGGAATGGAAGACTGGTATTAATAGTAGCTATAATTGTACCCCATTCCTCCATTCCCTACTAACCAAAGGTAAGTTGGTGCCTTCGTCCAACTGCAACTTGCACAAACTGATCCCGCACATGTCCGGTGGGACCGGCGGGACCTGCACCAATGCCTTTGATATCAGGGCCTGAACTATATGTATATATTTTATTTTGATATATATATATATATATATAATTATATATATATATATAACTGTCTCTGTATACCATCTTATATGACATTCCCGTGGGCCCTGTGAGCTTGTGACCTCTGGTCCACAACTTCCGACTGTGAGCATCAGAATCGGTAATGTAGATTCAAGCATGAAAAAACTACCGTTACTACTACTACGACTACTACTACTACTACTACTACTACTACTACTACTACTCCTACTACTCCTACTACTGCTACTACTACTCCTACTTGCGCGGTGACAAAAACTACTACTACTACTACTACTACTACTACTACTACTACTACTACTACTACTACTACTACTACTACTACTACTACTACTACTACTACTACTACGACTACTAGCTTCTGTTTCAACCCCCGCACATGTGGGTGACAAAAAACTACTACTACTACTACTACTACTACTACTACTACTACTACTACTACTACTACTACTACTACTACTACCGTTACTAATCTTGAGGCCCCGGGAATAATCCACTAAGGAGTCCGACTTGTCCGTGGAGGGTCTGAAGATTCGGCTTCAGGCCTTGGTTGCCGGAGCCTCCAATTTATGGTTATAGCATTAAGCAATGAATGTACGAAAGCAAGATGGAGGTTATGGTTTGGAACGAAGAATATGATACAGCATGTTATTGTACAATACACTGCGACATGGCATGACATCGTCTGGTCTGGTATACTATATAGTCTAGTACAGTATGGTCTAATATGACATAATATAGTCGGAGGGTTTCGGGTTTTGAGCTTGGGTCACCTTCGTCGGGTCGGTGTTGTTCTGCTTGTCAAAAAGCTGCTTGTCATTGGTCTGGCCTGGTCGGGCTGATGCAACTGTAGCAAGACTCCAGCTACACCAAGCAGAGAATCATCAAGTCTGAGCAGCAACACGGCGGCTCGAACTACCAGGCCGTAACAGGAAATGCCGACGACGATGGTATTCTTGATCTGCTTCAGTTCGTGATACCGTCTTCTTCGTGGTGCTACTGTGCCAAGTTGGAACGTCAGACTCTCACGTCTTCGCGTGGCACGGTAGAGCTTCCAGCGCCGAAAGCCAGTAACGGTTGAGATTCCAGCTCTTTGGGGTAACGGATGCTGCCTGAGCCAAAATGGCTACAGCAGCGTGCATCCTGAACGTTTCCTTCGATTCAAGCAAGGAATCGTTCGGGGCGCTCGGAAAGCCGAAGGATAGCAGAGGCACCAGGACCAGGATATATCTCTCTGACATGCACGGATAAGAGGGCGCCGGTGATCTGAATAACATCCGGTGGTTCATTGGGAAATTTGTTCTCAGCATTTTCAAGCAGTTCTATTAGAGTATATTACCTTACATTAATTACATTGTGGTGTCCAAGCGGATGGAGGGTGGGTCTTTGCACGAGTCTCGATTCCGACATATCGGAACGGGCATCGAGTGATTGGGATCTGCTCAGGTATCGAGGGGGTTGTTGGGGCTGGACATCTCCCCTATTGAAGGCGCGAAAGGCTTGGCAAGTTCGCCGCTACCGGCAGTCCCTTTGTCTGATCGGTTGCTCATTCTTGTTGGGTTTGACTGTCGGGAGTACAGGACAGATAAACTACCAATACTATTCCTGGCAGTAGGGTTCCTTGCTATGCGTATTTACACATTCCGTATGGTAATGGTATAGACTATATCCCGAAACCCTGTTCCAATGAGTAAGTACTATAAGGCCCTAGAGCCTAGTTTACAGGTGTGCCTCGGACTCTTTTTGCGGAAGCCCCGCAGTCAACAACCCCAAGAGAAGCCGAAAGCAGAGGCCACGCGCGATGCCGCCCTGCAGAATGCGCAGCAGGAGTCTGGGCCCCTCAGGAAGGGTCTTGAAGGAAGAAAGCATCATCCCGGTATTAGAATAGTCTAGTATAACAGTAAGGACGGACAGTTGCACTCGTTTGGAAGAGGATTCTTTAAATGTAGACGGAAGGACAACTGCGAGGCTAAGGACATCTGAAGACTCAATCTGAGGATTACAGTAACAAATCAGCAAGGACCTAAGTCGCTGCGCAACCGAAAAGCCGGCAGAGCTTCGGGTACTCTGCATTACGCACGCGCTTTAGGCTTGTAGGGCTGCCCTCTTGTTTTGGGTTCTTTGGTCCCGCATGCACTTCGGACGGTTCCATTAGTGCCAGCACCACCCAAACTCGGTCACTTCAAGGCGAGTGAACTTCGAGATGTTCAAAGTCGAGCCTGCCGCTGAGCAAGCTTTACGAGCCCTCAACCGCAGCTGTTGATAGTCGAAACCCTGCATTATCTCACACTTTTTGCGGATAAGGGAGCTGTTGTCCATTTGCAGTAGAAGCAGGCCAGGGGAGCTAACTACAAAGGGTTTCCGATGTGCACGCACAGGCCGAATGAATCGCTGCCAAGGACTGGCAGAACCCAACGGGTCACAGCGCAACACATGAATGGCCAATTGACGGTATGTACTTCTGCAAGCATTGAAACGACGTAAGTGCATGCCTTTGCATCGCAGAGACGGCTATCTCATTGTTAGCCCACGCGTGCTATGAGATTTGTTTGCTCCTTCTGTTGGCATCAAAGATGGTACGAAAGGGAAAAACGCCGGAGGAGGGCGAGGGGGGGGGGCGGGGACGGAGGACCCTCAGGGCGGGGGGAGGGGGGGGGGGCAACGGGGGGGAGGGGACCGGGCAGACGGCGGAAGGGGCCGAAAGGGAGAAAGGAAAAGAGCGCCGGGGGGGAGCGGCGGGGGGGGCGAGAGAAAAAAAGTAGGGGGGGGGTAGGTGTCCTTTTACCTTAAAAGAAATACTCTACGGTTACCATTTTGGCAACAAATTCACAATCCCTCGTACTCCTGTACTGAAAAAAAAAAGGCTATATAAACTAAAGACTATTTTATCTTCTTGACACAGAAGAAGAAAAATTCTATACCTCATGTACCAGTCGGACATCTGCCAGAAAATCATGATATCTATAGAATTAATGGTTTAATGAATACGATCATTATAAAATAATCTGAAAGAAACGGACAGTGTATGTAAGATCATACCCAAAACAATTTAATGTGGGTCTAGCTACAATTAAAACCAGAATTGAATAATTATATCTAAATATATGGATGGCTCTCTCACTTTTTTCGCAGCTGGACAACTTCTCCCTTGTGCGTCGCCTGGAAGCTAGGAACGACAGAAGCGAATGTACAAGGCTTCAGAAAAGAAGGGCTCCAGAGGGGCCTTCGGAGTTCAAAGTGCAGCCGAATTTTTCGGATGACACGATGCTCCAAGTATGCTCCGTACTTCGAGGGGATTAAGTCCGCAGAAGCTTCGACTCGTAGAGACTCAGAAGAGTAGCCGCAAAAGGCGCCAGCTCGAGCACAACAGAGCGCTGACTCTCTGTCAGGTCGGTCAGTAAGAGCTGCCCCGCAACGTCCTGCAGGTAGTGCTCAAGGGTGCGCCTTTGTTGCCATCTGCCACGCCATTGAATCCGACCAATGTCCTCGGTCATTTGATAAAGCCAAGTGGCACCTGATCCGCGAAGGCACTTCGGAGTGATGCCGCGCTCATTGTCACCAACCGGCACGCCTAAGTGCTGAAACAAGTAGTCCCAGCGGCGGCGAAAAACGCTGGGGGAGCAGTTGAACAACAGCTCAGCTCTCGGAGAAGGGCCGTACAAGGCTTCAAGAAACCGAACCGCGAGGACATCGGAGATCTTTGCACGTTGGTGCTGCAGAAAGCGCTTTGTTTTTGCTCCCAGAATGCGGACGTATGCAATGGGGGTGCTGGTAAGCAAATCGCAAGGAAGAATAAGATCCCTTCGCCGAAGCTTGAGAAACTCCCCAGGCCGGAGGAGCCCGTGGAAGCCCAAAAGCAGAGCTGCTGCGAAGGCCAGCCCCAAAGCAGAGATACACACACCGCTGCTCGGTAAACCGCCTCAGGAATTATCATGGATCTTTCTTGCGGCTCTTCTTCTTCCCAGCGAGAAAGCATTCCCCAAGCGGCCGCAAAATAGCTGCGAAAGTGCTTAAAGCGATCGGTGCAGCTATTGATTGTCTCTGAGAAAAGGTACATTGGAGATCCCGAATAGAAAAGGTGCTTGCCGTATGCGACTAAAGTTGTGCAGAGAAGCAAACCTGAACCACACAACTGGGAAAAGGTACACTGTAACTGCTCCTCGGCCCAGCGAGTGAAATCACCAAAAAAGCTTGTCACGGCGTTGAGCCACCAAGTTGCTGAGGCCACCGGTGGCGTCCAGATTAACCTCAGATCGGGCAACCAGAAAGTCCCGGCGGCGCCTTGGCATCCCAGTCGCAGAGCAGCTTGAGCATAACTAATCGGGCCCACTTGCCCGGAGCACCGACACAGTCGTCTGCACGCCGAACCAGGTCGAAGTGCCGGTAGTCGCCAAGCAGCAGTCGCTCTAGCCAGAGAGATTGAGCATCACATGGCTCGCGTAAGGCCTTCAATCTGGAAGGATCATCGGCAACATTATCGTGAGTGCCGATGTGAAAGTGCGCAGGATAGAGCCCTCCACCTAGAACATAAGGCAGACAACTGCACATGTAGTGGTTCATGGTAGCGCTAGAGGATCTTCCTTTTGCATTGCAACCTATAACGACACGACTGTCAAGAAGGATGCCGAAGCGACTGCCAGCTTCCGTATTTGCTAAGTGCTTCACGAGGCTGCGATAGCTGAGCTGCTCATTGACGTTGATATGGCTTAACTGCCGAAATCTGTACTGGATGATGGTTCGCCAGTGCAAGCAATGACCCAAATCGGCTATCCAGCGAGGAGGTTGATGCGGGGGCCTGCTCAATGAGCCTGCGCGACATTTCAAATCACTGATCGCTGGAATCTGAAGCTCTAAGAGATGCTTCAGTGCAGGCAACGGTCAGGCTCCAGAGAAACGGCACACCGCTTCACCAGGTTTGGGATCTCAACCGAAAACGTCTACACTGCTGGGTCTGCAAAGTGCTCGGAATCGGGCTATGTTCTCGACCGTGAAGGTGGACTCGAGCCGCAAATGTTTATTTCTCAAAGGGCAAGAGCACACGCCTCGCATCCTGAGTAACTCGTGGTTGTTTGCGAGCCACCGCGAAGGTTGCATGAACGGTGAGCCGTAGGTGCAGAAGCAAAGTCAACTTCGACGAAACCTCGGCCCTTGAGTCTTTCAAAGATGTTGAGACGAAACATCACAGATCCCCGCGGTTGCTCACAGGAACAAAGCAGACCATAAGCAGCGCAAAGATGTAGGATGAAAGCACTGCGTGCTGCGCAACTGTTGCCATGATCCGTTGCACGATCCTTTGCATTGAAACCCCACGGCTGAGCTTTAGAGCGCAAACGAGGCCGAAACATGGTGCCAAAAGTCGTGCATGGAGGCCCTAGGTGAATGTAGGCAACAACGCGTCTGGCAATCAACCCAATAATGTGCTGCATGGTCTGCTGCTGCAAGATGTCTCCGTGGGCTCCGTCTGCGATATCAAAACCCGGGTGAACTCGGAGGCCTAACTGCCGACCAACGTGACTAAGGTTGCCCTCAGAGAGCTGGCCCGGAATGCTGCATGACTGACCACTGGAGTCGTCGCAATCTTCAAAAACAGCCAAGTAGGCGGACAGTTTAGGCAGTAGCACTGTACGAAACCCTCTATGGTCGGCATGCCTAAGCAGTTCCAAGCAAGCTGAAGTTGAAATTCGCGCGGCACAAACTCCTGCTGCAAACGGTGATGCATCGGTGCAGAACAATGTACCCAAAGGTTTCGCCCTAAGGTCGGTTTGGAAACAGGGCGCCAGAAGTACCAGCAGCAACAGCTCTTGCCGAGCCGCGGCAGAAAGGCTGAAAATCTCATTCTCGCGGCGACCTGTGCCCTCGTGAAAAACCTGAGTCATGATGCACATAGCTGGTCGCCTGAACATCAGAACAAAGATCCACGACCCCAGAATACATTGCAACAACTGAGGAGTACTGTGCCCCAACACAATCATCTGCATCGTGAGGGCACATAGCGTCGCAGTTTTAAGCCGTGGCGAAGCAATATCACCACGGATGCCGTCGAGCTGCCCACCTAACACAATGTCGGCATAGGAGTTACGCACAGCCTTCCTTGGGGAGGCTCGCAATCCAGAAGCGATATATGCTGCAGCAGCAGAGTGCAAAAGGCGGGCATCCCTTCGACTCGGCGACGGCTCCCTCCCGGCTTCACTGCACGGCACCAGAAGTAGGTAGATGTGATCATCTATGCATAACAGGTCGAACCCGGGGCCGCGAGGGAGGACGCGCTTATAGGCGACCCTTTCATGATCAGCTAGACATCCAGCTCGACGGAGTAGGGTCTCATGGGAGTGCTGCGCTATTTCCACTGCATAGTTCGTACCCATAGCCAACGTCCTAAAATACCCCACGACTGGAACATTGTGCAAATCAGCATTGTAGCAACGCCATCCTGCAAAATCAGAACCTCGAAAAACTCCATGAAGATGGTTACGTGCAGCATGTTGGTCTGTTACAACGAACCCATGATAGAAGTCTTTGAAGTCATCTGAATTGATCACCAGGTTCTGGTATGGCGGTATGTAAATGCCGCAGAGCAAACTCGAATGAGCGAGTGTAAAGGTTGCCTCCGAGACAGAGTAGGACCGCGAGTTCTCGGGAATGGGGTTCAAAATCTGCCTGTCGAGGACGTCGCTCTTATAGACACTGAACAGCCCACAACGATACCGATATTCGGAAGAAGCAGCAGGTATCAAATGCAAACACTCGACATCGTCCCACTTCTTGTAGAGCTGCTTGCCTAAAGGAGCTTCCCAGACCCCCGGGAGGATCTAGAAAGTAGATCCCCTAATTTGGGGCCCTATACTACTAAGGGTACTTTATAGGAACCCCCATTAAGGGATCTACTTTTTGGATCCTCCCGGGGGTCTGGGTTGTACTCGGCCAACCTTAGGTCGGGGCCACTCATTCTCGTGCCTGCGAAATACTCGGGGATCTCTAAAGCCAGCTCGCAACAGTGGGTCCGTGAGGAACTTCTCAGCGTGAAACCTAGGGGCCTCCTCAAAGTTGAGACGGGAGGGCTCGATGGGCTTACTGGTCGTTGCGAGCTTGGCCTTTGCCACATTGGCTGGGAAAGCGGTTTCCGACTCAGAAGCGGCAGCTGCTGTACCACCTCGGCCGGCTTTCGAATAAGGCTGCATCTGAGAGAATAATTGAGCGCTCATGTGTTGCAATTCTTCGAGCTGCAAATGAACGCTGTCGAAGTTCTGAACGGACCGATCAAGTCCGCGTTTGGGGCCGGACCCCAAGCGGATCCACGTAGAGGCCATTGCCTCCAACCTGCCAAGCATAGCAGTTTGGGAAGTGCTCAAAGGCGGCAAGGCTGCGGGTGATAAAGCGGGCTTGCCCAACACCAGCCAGTTATTCGCTGCAACAATGTGGCGAGTAACGTGCCTGATATAGTGCCGGCGATGCCACCGCGCCAAGGGTGGACCACCAAGCTTGGTCCTAGGGACAGCCAACGGTGGTGCGAGCTGGCAAGGCCAAAGGTCGGGGCTCTGCGAGGCAGCGCCCGAAACGGGTTGCGAAATTGACAAAGAAGAATAAATAAAAGAAGACAGGCGAGTACGAGCCCTCAGCAAATTCCTGGAAATGCATATACAAAGTCGAGAAGCGCTGATCACATCGTCCAAGCCTGTGGGAAAAAGTTCGGGCAGGAACCAGGAGGGACGGCTCACGCCGCCGGCTCTGGTGGATCCTTCCCCTTCTGGCCGCGCTTTCCTCCACGGCCGCCCTTTGGATCTCCTGGGCCAGGTGTTGTTGCGGTGCTCGAACTCCCCGTCTGCTGCTGCTGCTGCTGATGGCTCTTGGCTGTCCGATCTTGGATGCTCTCCACATCCTTCAAGTACGCTAGGTTGGCTGTAACCCATCTCGGATAGGCCAGGAGCCCATGAGGCACCTCGCTCCTTGGCGCCCGCCGCTGCTCCACCAAACTGAACGGTGGGTCGTCCCGAAATATCAAAAGCCACCCCAAACGAGTGGCCCCGCCTTCGTTGGCAACCTGCTCGGCGAACACGAGCCCGAGACTGATCAAGCTCATGACTTCCTCGGACCTGCCCTGCTCCATGGCTTCCCAAGTGTCGCAAAGGAGGAAGGCAAAGTAGGTGAGGGTCTTGTAGTGGCCGAGGGGGACAACATCCTGGAAGTGATAGAACATGTCCCGAGGTTCTAGAGCAGCCGTGTTGCTCTTCCGCCTGGCCTGAGCCAATCTCTCGCGCACTTTCTGATAGACCTTCAAGGGGTCCCTCTGGATTTGATCCTTCAGCAGCTGCCGTGCCGCCATGCCGCGAATGCCCGGGACCTTCGTCTCCTCGTCTGCACCGCTGCCGCCGAGAATGCTTAAGGGATCCGAGGTCTTCTTGGTGGTGCTGGCAACAAGAGCTGCTAGGAGCTTGGTCTGCTGGCTGAGGACCTTCGCCAGTGCACCGCCCTCGCCCGCGGCAACCTCGTCGTCTTCGTCCTCCTCGACATCCTCGGCCAACGGCCCCACACCTCCCACAGGAGGCGGGGCAGGGGCAGCCTTGGCCCCAGCTCCTAGGTAAAGCTGGGCAGCCCCCGGCTTCGCAGCTGCATTGGCGGGTCCCGCCAAATCGCCCAATCTCTGCGGCCCCTTCCCGGCCAGCTGCAATAGTCGCTGAAGCTGCTCCTCCTGAAGTTGAGCCTTGGCGCCTTCGCTGAAGAGCTGGGGCGCCCACTGTGGCACCCCACCGCCTGCCGGAGCCGCGGCGATAGCCGAAGCTGGTGTTGCTGCAGGTGCCGCTGCCGCTGGCGTCTCCAAGGTGCGCAGCCTGGCGTTGAAACTCGCAAGGGCCTCGGCCTGGGTATAGCGTGCATCAAAAGCTGCTGAAGCACATCGTTCTGGGCAACCTCCGCCGCCACGGGAGCCAACGGTGTTTGAGCAAGGAGCGCTTCGCCGTCGGAACCGCAAGTGAAGTATGCATCCAAGCGGTCGGACAAGTCTGCGGCCTCGCCGTCCAGAAAGCCAGCCAAAGCTTCGACAACACGGAGACGATGAGGCCATACACTTTGCAGCCGCTGGGTGCCAAACACCTTGAGCTCGAGGTCGGGAAAAGGATCCACCTGCAGCCTGTCGATGCCCTCGGCGGCCACGTCGATGAGCAGGCAAGAGACGGCCGTCTTGAACTCGCGACCCGCCACCGAAACAGCAGCCACTGATGTAACGAAGTGGGGGCCGAAAATCCCTGGATAACCATCGATCTGAAACCCGCTCAACTCCTCTTCGGTGAAAACCCCGGCTGGCAAGCAAAGCATAAAACCCGAAGCCACGGCACGAACGATCAGAGCCTGAGAGCAAATGCTGCCATGGCTGAAAAAGAGCTTGGTGTAGCCCTCGGTCGAGTCTGCAGTGCGCCATCCCTGCAAGTAATCGTTCTCAGTAAGAATACTGTGAGTTTGCTGAGCAATGCAGAACAGAGTGAGGAAGCGCTCTCTTCTTTTACTCGCGAAGGATGCTTGAAGTCGGTGCGAGGCAATGCGATGCCCAGTAACAGGAGGAGCGGGGC